AAAGCAAGAGTACCTGGTGTAGATGGTAAAGCAAGAGCATATGGTGTAGTTGTGATAATGAGAGGTGTAAAGAGTTAATTTCCTCTATAAAGAACAAACTTACTTTAGATCAGTGCGAACAAATAATTCAAAAAATTACAACTTTGCTGATAGGAATGAAATTGCAGATAAATATAATTTATATTCTAAAACTGGTAATAATTTAGCAGCCACAATTCCTAATGCAAACAAAAAAGTTTTAGGGTATATGTACTATTTATCACACCCATGCCGTCATTCACATTTTTTAACTTTCTGTTTCGCATCTCGAAATACAGTCCATTATATAGCTGACTTTAATTTGAATAAGGCAAATGGCCCATATAAATTTATTAAACCCCTTGTTTTATTGAAATGACTCAAAGATGTCAATGTCTTGTTTTGGAGTACCTAATCAATTATTCCTTCATATCTGGATCTGTTCCAGATATTCGTAAGGTAGCAATGTCCACTACTTGTTAACAACTATAGTTCTATTCCACTCTTGCCAATCTTTCACAAAATATTAGAAAAAATAATGCATAATAGATTAATGCTTTATTTACTAAAACATTCTATTATTTTTGAAGGTCAATTTGGATTGCAACCGAATCATTCTACTGCTCATGCACTTCTATTTCTTAATGATAAAACTTTAAGGTCCTTTGATCAGGTTAAGTTTTCTTGTGGAATTGCCTTAGATTTATTTAAAGCCTTTGATACAGTAAATCAAAACATATTATTTTATAAATATGAACCATTACGGTATACGCGGCTTAGTAAATACTTTCTTGCTTCTTACCCTGTCTAATAGGAAACGGTTGGTCTCTGCTGGTGGCACTTCCCCATGTCACTTAAATATTAATTGTGGGGTTCCACAGAGATCAGTCTTGGGACCAATTCTCTTTGTTATCAAATATAAATGATAAATACAGAGCAAGTAAATCATTTGACTTTCATCTATTTACAAATGAATCAAATCTGTTTGCCTCTGACAATAATTTACATAATTTAGAATCTAGTATTTCGAGCAACTTCACTTTCGAGCAACTTTGAGCAACTTTTCATTTTCTAGCAACTTTCGTTCTTTTTTTAACTTTTACATGAATTTAAACAAATTATCACGCCAAATAAGGACAAAAATTGAGTTTTTTTGTTGTTTTTTTTTTTTTACTCTAATGATTTCAAAACTTGTCTTTGCAATTTGTATACACTTTGTGAAGTTCTGATCTTCCTGTGGTAAACTGCTATGCATGTGGACAGCGGTTGTAAAATCTAAAATGTAAACAAAATGGCGGAAGAAGCCACATGCTCGATTAATTCTGACACAGAACAAAGCCCATTAACAATAGCAGCCAATGCTGGAGCTAATTTGAGTGAGCCAACGAAAGCTAGTATTGCGCGAGAAAGAAAAGTGCAGAGCAATCATGCAGAAAAGAAGAGAAATGTCCGCGGTACAGTGAAGTAGATACAACAGGAACAAAAGATAAAGCCTTTATACTTCTATTAAAGCTGACTATAACATGATTGACCATAAATTTGCTTATATATTGCTTATCTATCACATGATTAACTACAAATTTATTATAGTACGGTATTTATAACATGATTTATAAATTTGTATAAAATATTATATAGTATATTTAGTATTACCCTCAGTAAATATAGACATTACTTACTTATTCACTGGATTCTATGATATTAAACCATCAAATTGATTGCAAATATGAACTTTTTATTGAGCACCTTTAGAGCAACTTTGAGATTTTTGAACAACTTTTGAGCAACTTTTGGATTTATTTAGCAACTTTTGAGCAACTTTTTGGACTTTTTGGGGCAACGTTTTGGACTTTTTGGGGCAACTTTTTGGAC